GCGCTTAATAAACTTTGGATTAATCCAAAGGCCATTATATATTTATATACACACATAGGTACCCATGCCCTGTGCAGGCCCTATTTCAGGAACCCATGATGTATTGCAGTAGAACTCCCTTGGGAACCTTGTGTCCAAATATCCTTCCTTCTCCTTCTGCTTCCCAGGGAAGGGGGAGCGGCCGCGGTTCGGCTGCTGAACCGCCCCGCTCGGGAAGGTTCATACAGGTGCTGGGGGAGAAAAGATGTTTTGAAAGAGTAAGAGGGTGTTTGCTTTTAGGATTCACAATAAAAATGAGAAAAATAAGGATAACAAAATCAGAGGTGGAGGATGGAGATGTTGAGAAGCAGCCAGGAAATTAAGGCAGGAAAAGAGGGCGGCTCATCCTTCCAGAGGCAGATCAGTGCCATCTTTACCTCATTTTAGATTCTTGTACCAAATGATGGAACTGCATGTCCTGTTGGAGAGAACAAGGAGTGATCCTTCATCCTTCCAAGTGTTTGGSGTGGAAAGGCTCCACAGCCTGGCAAGTAAGCGATAATTTGCAGGAGTATCCTTGTAAATATAAACATGAAGATAAACAAATAAACCCGGTCTGAAAGGATGTTATTTAACAAAACAAGAAAGGGTCTCTTTGGATATAGTTGGTTTATTCAGACTTTGACACCTTATTATCACAATACCATTTCTTCAGCTGGCTGATGTAGGTGTTTTTAATATAATTACTAATATACATAATAAGTGATCTAATATAAAATGAAAATTAAATGTTTCAGTCCTTTCAACCCAGGCCCTCTCTGTCTGCCAGGTGCCAGAAGCTGCTCTCCAGGGCTGCTGCTCCTTAGAGGTGCTCCCTAGGGCTTCTCCCTCATTTCCAAAATGGCCCAAAACTGATAGTGCAGAACTAGGACAGCCCAAGTTAGTGGATGCAGATCATTTGCTTCTGTGATAGTAGGTCTTTATTTAAGAAACCTAGAATTGCCATAATGAAGTATGAAGATGAATCTTTCAGGTAGGAAAAATAACACACATGCACCCAGCAGCTGCTAAGACTTAGGTTTTTGCTGGTAAGTGGATAACATGATCAATGTTAGAAATGAAATGAAAATAGATAAAAGTTCCTAATAGAATTGCCTTGTCTTAGACATGAATCGGCAATGCATAAAAACGCCTAATCAGGCTTATCTCATTAGGAGCTGACACAAAGGAAACCATTGGAAAAGGAAAAAAAATAAAAAAATCTAAAATTCATTTTCTCTCAGAATTACAACCTCGCCCCTTAAAAATGTTTATTAAAATATGCTTTATCAAAGAACAGTAGTATTTTCCATGGGCGATGAGTATTGACAAGTTCATTTCCATTGTAACTGCATTTTTACACATCCATATGTAACCTATCTCTTTTTTTTGCAGATAGAATGAGGCAAAGAAGTCATTTTTTTTCTCCATTGAGAATGGGTTTGATGGAAATAATTTTTCATAAGATTTTAATTCATAAATTTTTGGATGTGGTTTTGCCTCTCGCTCACTGACCGAGAACAGCTGGTTGAAAGCTCAGATTTAGACATTTACACTCCTTTTTCATGATGAGTCCTTAGCATTATGATTAATTCATTGCTTCCTATTTTATATTCCGTGCAAAACTGGTGCTAATGCAGCATTAATACCGTAGAATCAAATACTCAAAAAATAGGTCATTCCACCAAGGTCTCCACGCTTCCTTTCCCTTCTGCCTTCTACTTATACAGAAAAGGATCTCATTAATATAAAAATGCCAACAATATAATAATACATAGTATGTAATATTATATATGGTGTGTAGTATATAATAGAATGAAATAGTATATTATAGTGTAAAGTATTAATAGTCAAACATGGTATAGTATCATGAATAGTATCAAATATATATCATATCTAAAATAGACCAAACCTCCTGCTCTTTACTGTTATTGAGACTTTTCACGAGGACAAGCTAATGTACTTTTTTAGTCCTTATAACAATCGGAACAACTGAGCAACCTTCCCAAGAGGGAATTGCTGTTGCAACTATTAAATGTGGTAGGAATGTTTGCCAAGAGAACTTAGCTGAGTCTGACTTCAGTCTGAAAAGTGAATCTGTTCCATTAATCTTGACTTAGTCCTTTCTGTAGGTAATAGGGGTACAACTTTCTGCTCCTAATTTGTGAACCAAAGGGCTTGAAACCCTTTTAAAAGGGAAATTCCACTTGGTTAAAAATAAAGGGAAAAAAAAAAAATGCAGTTATCATTATAGATACCTGAGAATTAGATTTTCTTTTCTTTTTTTTTTTTTTTTTTCTCTCTCATGTGGAGTAATGTGTATGCTCTGTTCCAACTTTAAGACTTACGCAGGGCAGTTTTATCTATGTTTGAATTTAATCAGGTTTTTTTGAGACTAAATGCTTGCAAACTATTGTCATAGTAATCGCTGAAAGGGGGAGGTCCCACTGTCCTCGTGTCCAGAGCCCGTGCAGTTGTGCCAGGAAACATGATGGGGCGTGAGGTGACCCGGGGCAGTGGGTGGCAGTTAACTCAAGCTCGCGGGATGCCCTGTTYGCCCATGCAGGCGGGACGGCTCCCTAGCTGCTCTCCTGGGCATCCAGGAGGCAGCCAGTGCTACTTGAACATGCTGGAAACAAAGGAATATGGGGTCCGATATATAAACAAAGATTTAAAGGATCTAAAAGATTAACAAAGGTGTCTAAAAATAGAGCAATATTAATCAATAAACAGTTCAATAAATGCGCGCTGTATAAGGCAAGCAAAAGGAAAAGAAAGCATTGATCGGCTTGCATTGAAAGCTAGTGGCAGAGATTAAGTTGGCTACATGAAAGACTTAAATCTTTATGTATTGTTTGAGCGAGATAATATTGTCCAGACTTGGAAATGCTTTAACCATCTTTAACAAGGCACTGATTGCTATTCAGGACAGACAAAATATCCCAGCTGCACAAAACTCAACACTTCTCAAAAAACAAAAGAGAAGTTTTTAATGAAAACTAAAGAAGAACAGAATTAATTATTCTTGCACACATGACTTGGATCCATTTCTTTTAATYCTTTAATATATTTAATTTTATGAAATATCTCACTAAATCTATAGTTCATATGGATGTCAATTTTATTTGCAACCTTAGGCAGTAAAGACTTGGGAATGGCAGAGAGAGAGACATTAATAGTTGTTGAGCTGTACAGCTTTTTAACTACAGTAGTGTGACCTATGTTAAGGATCTATATATTTTTAGATTAGGTCTTTGTGTGCGGTATTGGAAATGGAAGGTGCATGCCTCTGAGTTTACGCAAGCTAGTTAAAAATAAATTTAATACAGCAGCAATGAGAATTTGCCACGCAGAGCTGGATTTTTCTACAAGCCAGTAGGCCTAAAAATCTAATGGTGTCAGGTTTGCTGTAATATTGCCAGGTTTTTCTATTCAACTGCATGCACATTTCCATATAGACATGTAAAAACTCTAAGTTGCTGTGATTTTTTTAAAGACATTTTAAATAGCGTGTACTCTTAGAATTTCAAAATTAAATGAGGGGGAAAAAAATCCAATGGAAACCAAGGACATTTTGCATTCAGAAGTCGTTTCTGAATCACTGTATTGCTCATTGAAAGATCAAGTAAAGAAGTAATTTAAAAAGAGATTTGGGATTTGTAATTATGTGAAAATGGTTATGCTTAACAGAAAAGGCACTGTGGCTTCTATTAGTGATAGATGATGGTGACTATGCTCAAACTTCCAAATTTATGGAAAATTGGAAATCTTGGAAAATTAATGATTAGCACCAATAAATACACCACTGTGTATAGTTTTCAGTCCTTGTAGTAACACCAGAGAGAAGGGATTGCTCTGTTCCACTTGGGGCTGGTCTTTGGATACGTGCCTAGATTCACCTCAGTGCTCACTTGCAAACTCTTCCTCTTGTGGAAGACACGCAGGTCTGGTATTGACAGTGATGATGGTCTGCCCCAAAGATCACTGACTGRCACCAGAGAGAGCCTTGTCAGTGCACCGTGCTTGTACCATGCTGTGATAAGCAAACATGTTCATGTTTTCTACCTCAAACAAGTGAATAGAAATATTTTTTTTTTCATGTTGTACACCTGCAGATACTGACCCCAGGAAAGGCAACCAATCTGGTATTTAAACGTTTTTGAACAAATAGTTAAGATAAAACAGAACGCTACATTTAATCAACTTTTGATATAATTAGTGTGTGAAACTCCAGTTGCCTATGAGCTTCTGTTTGCTGTCGTAAATGTTTTTTTTATTGCTTTCTTAGGTGTTTTTTGGTTTTAATTTTAATTCYGTTCCTGTTTTCAAATTAATTACATGATTATGAAGTTTATCAAGGAAATTACTTTTAAAAAAATAGAAACTCTCATGAAAGCAATGTCTGGTGCAATGTAGCATAGCAGTCCTTGGATTCCATCCAACTCGACTGAATTAATTTTTTCACTACACTGTGCTGTACATAAGCTTCAAGTACAGGGAATAACATGGGAGCACGAGACAGTAATCACTGATCAATCAAATCAAAACTTGTATTTTTTGGTAGCTAGAAACAAATTCTCTTGAGACAAAGGGGACCTTGTGAGAGCTCTAACAGATCTTGCCTGAGTCCAGAAAAGCCCCATGGTTATGGAGCTCTTGATGCTCTTGATGGTAGCAGCATGGTTTTCTAAACAGCTGAAAAAGAACATGCAGAAAAAAAAAATTAAAATTTACAGATATTTATGATTATCTGTCTTTCAGTGTCTTTGAGATCTGAGAACCATTTTCTAAAATTTTTCTAAGAGAAAATACAWGCCTCACCTAGATTGGAGGGTCCAAGAAGCATCTGTTCTGTGAAGGAACGTACAGTCCAGACCTCCCAGAATCTCTCATGTTTGTCTGTTACTAAAACCATGACATGCTGAAATCCAGTTTTCCCAAGCACGGTTTTCTGATATAATTCTCACTTTTGCTGTTCACAGAGAGTGAAGAAGTGTACCAGCGCCAGGTGCTCTCCATCTCCTGCATCGTCTTTGGCCTCGTCGTCGTGGGTGTGCTCTGTGCCGCATTCTACTTCAAAGCAAAGTAAGAGCCTCTGTCTGCTGCCCTTGTTATCTGCTTTCCATCCTTTTTATCGCTTTCTGATTCTTTAGATTCTCCCTTTCTTTTGAAGCTGTCCTTAACTCTGAGTAGTCTGGAACAGTTGCCCATGGCTGGATTATCAAAGCCATCAAACTAATATCCCGCCATCGCTAGAGGAAGACCTTCCACGGGTTGAGAAGGATTGGGCTAGGGATCACTTAGGCAAACTGGCCACTATAAGACTTTTTAATTTCAAGTGTAGTTTGTGCAGTTTGTTTCTGTGAAGATTTATGTTGGTTCATGTTTCATCTAAATTTCCCTGCTCCTTTGAACATGTTGAACCTAGAAYCTGACAGCATCATAAACTGGGGCAATGCTGTGCTAGGACAGGTTCCTTCTGCGGGCTCCTCAGTTGCAGTAAAAATTGTGTGTGGAGGCAACTGCATTGCCATTGAGTAGGAAATGTCTTTATGTGTTTACATCTTTAGAGAAAAAGAAAGAGAATAAGGTGTTCCTCCCTATCCGATAGTCAGGATTTTAGCTGATGAACAGGGATTCAGAAAAGGTAGAATGGGACTGTAAGCTGGAATCACAGTTTGCTTGGAATTTCTGTTTATTTGTTTTTGAAACCTTCATTGTAAATATCGTGATAGTTCAGAGTTAACTACTGCTGCCTAAGAGAGAAGGGCTGAAGTGAGCTTGGACTGCTTTCTGGGAACTAAGGTTTGAGGAGTGTTGAGAAGTGCCTGTGGGTCAGCTCAGAGTTCTTGCATGTCACAAGAAAAAAAGAATTTTAAGATACCAGTTCCTGCCTCCCTGATTGTTGCTCCATTCACCATAACTGTACATTATGGTACGTAACCAAGAGCACAGCAAAACCAACATGGGTTGCTCTTTATGGCTTAGACTTTTACAGACCCCAGTGACTTGAATATATTTCTTGCAGAAATAACAGTACTTTAGTGYAGAACATCTGTAAAACGGGATATATAAGGCCCATTTGTTTTGAAAACAAAACTTGCATATATTTATCTGTGAATAAGATCAAATTAGTACTTTGTATATATTTAATCCTATAATTCAAACAGGTTAACGTACATAAACTTATTATTAGGTTGTATAAGCATGAAAAGGAAACAATTAGAAGACAGTTTTCCTCAGTAAATTAACTTTTAGAAACTCATCTGTAATGGTAAAGAAATGCAGCAGTGAAGCTTAATATTCCAGTTTACTTAGATATGTTAGTACAGGTAGAAATTATTCTAAATTCATATTTAAATGACCAATTTGTTATTTTCTTGATTAAACTCTAAGAATTGTTATCTACAGGAGAGATTCCCCAAGTGTGATACTGTGATCATAATATTAGTATGCCTTTGCTTAGACTTTATATGAAGCCTCCACTCAAAAATGTTCAAGCAAACAAAAAAAGACTTGATCTTCTATAAAAACTTTGGAGACCTACATGCAAGTGGGTGGCTTTCAAATAGCACATATGGATATGTGTAGTTGGATCACCAGTGTATATAATTTAGCTGTTCAGAAAATGTTTATGCATAAAAAGTGTGTAATCGTTTCCATACATTTTCTATGGATATTTGGATATTTCTGTGGATATATAGAAATTTCTGTGGATGTTTTTTAAAGAATAATGGTTTATTTTAGCATCTCCTAAATAAATTACAATTTTTCACAAGTGAATTGAATACAAAAAAAGCTATGTCTAAATGAAATGTTTCAGTATTACTTAATTTATTTCACTTGACACAATCTTCCAAATTTTTTTCCAGATTTTTCTGATTTTAACTTTTCATATTRTTTTTGCCAAGGAAAGGCTTACAAGTTTAAAACATTTTCATATATGAGAAAGGATTTCCTTGCCCATCCATATTCATATACTTTTCTAATTATGAGCCTCTACTTATATCCAGTTGTGCTTTTAACATGCTTGCAGTGTAAATTCTTTCTCATTTGCCATGCTCTTTCAAATTAGGATCTAAATATAAATCATTCGGGGTCTCCAATATCGGTTATAGTTTATGGCCTGTATTCAGGAGGAGCTGAAATATGGTTACCTGCTTTTAAGCAGAGGCTGAAGGTTCGGCAAACCTTCAGTGTTGTACTTAAGGAAATCTTTAGAAAGGATGCTAATCTTTATAAAAAGATATATTGAACATAGTGACTCATACAGTGGCTTTCTCAGCTTTGACATGGCAGCTCGTAGTCAAAACACTTGCCAAAATGTCTTCAGATAACCGTGTTGATTCTTAGGCTTTTCCAAGGTTCAGCGTATAAGCAGAAAGTGGGTCTCTTAAAGATACCGCTATGGGTCAAGTCTAATGAGCTACAYGGAAGGTCAAACATTCTTTGGCAGATTTTATAAACAGCAGGGGTTAATGTCTGCTGTGTTTGCCAAAGTGGCTGTTACAAAGCAGAGCAAAATACAATTTTTATCATTTGGGGCCACTTCCAAGCTATTGTTAAATATGTAATACTTTTTATGTACAAAGTTGCGTGYTCTAACAACTAGCATCAGAAGAGCTCTTTTCTTTCCATTCTTAAGCTGTGCCATAAAATGACCAATGCACTGAAATATTAGGCACTAGTGAATTAGTTCAGCTGGCTAATCCAATATGGAGAAGTTTTGAATACAGTAAAGGATGGCTGTAAAAATATCGCAGCTATAGTAGAAGATCAGACTAGCCCTTTCTTACGTGAATTTTATTTCTCTGTCCAGGAAAGAAACAAAGCAAATTCATGAACAGCTGAAAGAAACGCAGAATAGGAAAACCTACAGCCTAAATGCTTCCAGCATGATGGCCAAGCCAGAGTGTATGGCACAAAGCCGAGTGCAGCTGCAACACGTAAGTAATCTTGCCAGCCACAACGCTTAATAGCCTGGCGGAGTTCCTGCTGCTGATGGCAGCAGATCACCGTGTTGTTATTACCATCTGAGCAATGGGAACAAAATTACTCACCTCTTTCATAGAATGTTTTCTTTCAGGCCCCTTGATGGAAAACAGCAAGTTGTGGGTTTTTTTTTTTTTTTTTTTTTTTTTACTAAAGTTATTTCAAGTAGTCCTTATGTATTAATATAATGTAGTAAATCTTGTTGAGCCCCCTAGCTCAACAAGATTGAGCTGCTGTATGGAAACAACTGCTATAGCTTTCTGCAATGCCTTATCACGTGTGTGTGGTTTATAGATGAGATAGGGAGCATTGATCTTGATTGATTTTGAATCTTCCAATACAAAATATTAGTGTGCATGAAAACATGTAGAGATTTTTTTTCAGTGTTAATTGAGAGTAAACAAAAATTTAAAAGTAAATTTATCTTATTATACAAGTGAAGATAGTGTAGGCAGTCTTAGTTTCCTGTGTCTTGTGTTAAACAAAGGGATTTTTGTACTGAAGGAGGTCAGTTTTTTCAAACTGAATTTGAAATTTATTTAGTCATGTTCTGAATATAGTTATATGCAAGTTAACATAATCTCACAATCATGAATTACATAAAGAAAATCTGAAGTTAGAAATTTGCAGAATGGATGGATTTAGCTTTTGTTGCAAATTGATTTTCAAGGCAGTCTGCTSTCTTCCCACAGTCATATGCCTGTCTTTTGAGCGAAGCCTTTGGAACAAATAAGAAGGATCCTTCTAGAAAGGCCAAAATTACAATATAATAGGAAATCATAAAATATTATTAAAGCCTTTCTAAATGCTTAGTTCTTCAAAAAATTATCCCAGTTTTGAACCTGAAGAAATCCTCAAAGCGAGTGCTGTTGGCTGGGCTGTTCCAAGGGCTGACAAACACATCGACAAGCTTCTCTGTAGCTCTGCCCTTCTGCCTGTGCAGTGCTCGCCTGCTGCAGCAGCCGCAGCAGCTGCAACTTGCACATTCCAAATCCTGGAGACTGCAAAACATTCTTGTGGTTTATTATTTAAAGCCAAATTTGTACTTCAGCGTTTAATGCTGCTCAAGGGCGATTATCGATGCTGCTAGTTAACCCATGGTTTGTTTTTTCTTGTGGCTGTTGGCAGGGAGCAGTTTCTCCTTGCAGTTAACGTGTTTTCCTGTTGGCAGCAAAGGCATTAAGGAAGAAACAGACTGACCTTTTGCAGGATGCAGCGTAACTGCACGGGGCAGCAATGGCTCTGCTGTTAGAAAGGCTTGGGCACAGGAACACGTGTAGGCAGCTCATTAAATATTCCCAAACCTTGACAGATTTGGGGAAGAAATGGGRGAAGGAGAGGTTAGAGGGGAGAGCAGAGCTTGAAAAGGGTGTTTCCTCAGAGGGGGTGACTGACCGGCTCCCCGCTGGACAGAGCAGCCCCCTCCGTGTGTGCCCGCAGGGCCGGGCGAGAGGAGCGCAGCTTTCTGGGGCGCTCGCCCGTGTTTGCAGGCTGGGTTAGCTGAGCCAGGCGCTGCTCCCACCCAGGTGTTTGGGGAGAAATGGCCCTGGGTTTGGGGCRTTTGAGTCCTTTTCATTTCCTGGAGCCAGTACTGATACTTGCATCACGTTTGGGGTACAGAGTTTAGCCCTCAAGGCCTACGCTGTTACTGTCTGGATGCTTCTCCAAAGAGCTTGTGGTTGTTGTAATCCCTGAGGTCTTTTTTTTCCTGCTGCATCTGCTCCTTCCACATAGGAAATCTGTCTGCCTTGTATCTCACCCTTCTCCGTTTCTAACAGATTCTCCCATATTTCACTCCTTCCTATTCCAAAGGGACATAGTAATGTCTTCAGTTTTTCTTGCCCTGCTTTTTATTGTGCTCTGTATTAGGATAGCACTGGGAATAGTTCATGAATTTCCTTACCCTTGTTATAACTGGATAACTCTTCTATTAAAGTCTGTTTTCAAAGGACCATGGTATTTTGATTCAGATGTTACTCCATTTAGTGATGGGMACATAAACCTTTCCAAAACCATGCATTACCCTAGCAATAGATTTCCTTTATTTCCCCAGACCTAGGGTAGAGCTAATAGCATTTCAAATGGCTTATGGCTTTAAAGAGCTTAACCAATTGCAGTGAAGTATTATTTCACCTAATCATTCCCCTTTTCCCTATCTTCTGTTGACTGGACTTAAGAAAAAGAGTTATCTTTTGTGTACATAGTTTGAAAAGCAATTCTGAATCTTTTTAAATGAGAGATGCTGTGTAAATGTAAGAAAATTACTGTTGTAGGCTAATGCCACATTTCATTTTTTAACCAAGTATTAAAATGAATTACAAATTTGCATTTCATTGTAGCTAACTCATTATACTTGCAGCTGTTTGTGTTGCTGCAGGAGAAAAAGAAAAGGACTTTAGACCTCAGCCCCTGATATCCCACCTCTGCACCAATTAAAGCTGCTTTACAGCAGTGATTATGAAAACYATATGCGAGGTTAAAAACTCAGAATGTTTGTTTTAGAAACACTTGCCATTTACATAAGACTTTTGCTGGATCCTAAGCTACATGTTAAGTTGCTGTATCTTTATTTCGAAAGACAGTGTTAATGAATTTGAAGTGTTGGACACTTCCCGCAAGTTSGCTAACCATTCGCATGGCAAGATTGCTCTTTCATTTATCTAGCAAGAAATGCCATTCTTTTAGAACTCACCTCCCTGAAGAAGTTGCTCTGTTTTTCACCTCTCTCTGCTCGGCARGATAGGCCCAAGTGAGGAAGGAGGCCACATCTCTGCATTGTGCGAGTCACGCACCGTGAGTGGGAACTCCCTAGGCTCGGTGCTAGAATTGCTAGATAGGCTGCACTGCAGTGAGCGCACACAGGACCTTAGACTCCTCCTCCTTGGTCTTGTTCTTGAAAGCATTCCCAGAAAATCTCTGAAGAGCAGAAGACAAGAACTTGGAGAGGTTTGCAGCAACTGTGCTTAAGGCATTTGGGTAAATACCAGTAGGTTAAATTGCGTAGTTTTTGGTCTCCCTTAAAAATATCATACCTGAATCACGTTAGCACCATTGGCCATCTGACTTGCAATAGAGAAACATTTGCTGCATGGACTGGGGACTTAAAAGTCCCAGGCTGAGCATTAGGTTTCAGCAATGTGTGAACTTCAGGACTACAGGTCGTGCCATCTTTTAGCTCTGTAGTCACCATGAGCTAGGAAAGTRGCCACAAGTGCATTCACTCCAAGCATGTGACTTTAGGATACCCCACAATAATACAACGCATATATAAATAAATTACAGAATGTCTGAGGTATTCAAGGCTGCTATTCCATCAATTGCAAGCAGTTTGTAATTCTCATAAAAAGAGAATTCACACATTCCAGTGTGAAGTGAGTACTCTTCTAACATGGAACATGTGCAAACTCACCTGCCTTGGCAAGCCCCAGGTGAGGGAGAATGCAAGGAGAGTTACAGATTTATGTTAAACTCTAGGTACCTTCCTTTGACGTGCTTTATTGCAGGGAATTGGTGCTTTTTATTTGCAGAGAGAATCAAAGTTTTCAGAAATATCACTTGCATTTCCTTCCCACATCCAAATGCATCGTGTCTCCAATTCCTTCATCTGCTTGTTTTGTGATTCAATAATTTTTTTAAAAAAATCATTAGATTTTGTCAGGCCTCTGAGCTCCTGCTGTTTAGCGCTTGTAATTGTGTTCACTAGTGCTGAGCCCATTTCTGTCAGTATTGACTCCATCTTTTTGTTAGAGCTACAAATGAGATAATACTGTGTCCTTCAAGCAGGGTTCCTTAAATGTCTATTTGAACAGAGCTCTTCCAGAGTTTATTCCAAGTCTTGTCTATTGCTCTTATCAAGTGTTTTGGCAGCAATACAATAAATCTCTTGCTTGGTTTTCTAGCAAATTGGGCTTAGATCACTGTTTCCAAACTCCCCACCTCTTCCTTGGTCAAGTGACTAATAGGTTTCTCATGATGTAGAATCTAGTTTCATTTTCTTTTTTCGCTTGGTTCAAATAACTTGTCATTGCTGACTGCAGGTTTCTGATGTAGTTAAGRGGGGGGAAAAGTTATTTTTGTGTCTTGTCACCTTTTGTTGGTTTTAGTGGTGAATAAATTATTACTAGTAATTGTTGTAGAAACACAATTAATATGTTGAGCACCAGATGGAGACAGTTAAATCTTTTAAAAGATTACCATGCAGGTGTGCCTAAGTTACAATGGGACTTGTCAGCTAAGATCAAAAGCAGATTTCCCATTTTTTATTACCACGACTACTTGGAAAGATCTGCCAGAATCGGCAAACTTGAGTTTACTGACCTCCCTCTAAACTGTTGGCAACAAAATATATGGCATATGGAAATAGCTGYAAGGAGGCTAATCACACCACCTGAAAGCTTTTTCTGCACAAGGTCGCCTGTCTAGGAAAAACACTGGTTCTTTATCTCCTTGAAGCACCCTCTCTGAATGTAATTTAAAGGTGACATCCTTCCCATTCTTAGCTGTTTCTGAGATTACACCTCTGTATCACCTCTCTTTCAATAGAACTTCAAATGCAGACTTTTTCATTTTGTGGGGGGAAGGAAGGGGCAAAGGAATTGTGAGGAGGAAAAGCTGAGAGAGTTGGGGGAAGGGGGATGCTTTATTTTACATAACCCTAGTAATACAGTGTCTAGTTATTCTGTAAGATTTGTGTAACAGTTGTTATCTGCAGATCTGAATAATATGAGAATGGGGAATACAAGGCAGAAAACAATGCAATGACTTGTTCAAAATCATACAGTAGGTGAGTGRTAGAGCCAAATTATATATATAKAGAGAGAGAGTTTATACATGTAGTTAATGCTTTACTAGTCATCGTTTTGGGGCGGTATGTGAGGCCTTGTGTTTTACTCAGCAAGGATGAGGAAAACCAGTGTATTCCACCCTTCCAGCCCACGTCCACCTTAACCTTGGATGCAGCAAGCARCAGAGCTTATCCCTAATTGTCCTTTATGGTTCATTTCATGTTCATGGTCTTACAAGACATTTGGACCTTCAATTTAGTATTATGAATAAACACAAGAAAGGACATAAATAGCTTCCTTGCACTAACGACGTAGTATTCATGTAGCTCAAATTGATTTATTCAGGTCAGAAATCAAAGGCGATATCACTTCTGCAGCTGGCAGAGTAGCTATTAAAGTTAAAAACCTTCAGAGGCACCTTAAAAACCCTACCTCTGTCTGCGTATTTTACCTACAGCGGTTACAAATGACAGTTAAGATCATCATAACTGGAAGAATTAAGAATGTAATACCTTCTTATTCCACCTGTGTTCATGCATTTGGCAAAGTTTTGCATATTGTCACTTTCATAGTTTTGCCTTCGGAATCACTTAAGCAGTGATTTTTTGCTCTGTTTATATAGATCTTTCTCACTACAGGGGGAGGGAAGGCATTTCTAGGTCTGTTACTTTCTCAACAGAAATTGGCTTCAAGAAGCCAAAATAGATGTACCAAAATTACTTAATTCATTTTTAATTCTATTTAATTGAATTTTTAAATTTGGTTTTTGCTATTGCATTTTAGCACTCATATTCATTATATCACTGATAAAAATGCATTTTTTAGAAGTTTATTTTGTGTTTTCTTTCTGAAATATTTTATGTAATATTTGTTTATGTATTGTAAGAATACAGTGTTTATGTATTATAAGGATACAACATTTGTTTATGGAAAGGATAACATGGATGATAAAGATAGTGTCAAGTAATGAAAGTACCAACTCAAGCCATTCATATTTACAGAAACAAATGGATAGAAAAAAAATAGAATAACTAGTTTTAGTGCAGGTCATTGTTAAGTAGCCTAGRGACCTACATTTATGTGGAAAAGTGGGTTAGCTTCTCATATGTATGAGATCCTGCCGTGGAGCTGCTAAGAATATTGATTCTTCTTCTGCGTTGATGAAAGCAGCACATGACTGAACTCACCAAAGGCCAGAGAAGGTGCTGAACATCCTCTGAGATGCAGTTCCTGATCTCAGGCACGATGCAGGCTTTTATTCACAGGGCTCCCTGTTGCCCCTCATTATGGACAGGGCAGGAGGTAATAGCAGCATTTGAACGAGGAAGGAGCAAGGRGGATAATGAGTATCGATCCATATTTCCTCCTGTGATAGCAGCAGTGAATGTATGTATTGCTTGCAATGACCAATATTAACTTAAAAATATGATTGAGTACTTTCTACTCCTTTTGATATAAATTCTAACTAATTCCTTCATTAATATTTTTTGCTTTTAATGCATGAATTAACATTGTCCTCTGTGCTGCAGTATTCAAAAGCAGATAGGCATCCTGGGCCGATGCTGGACAAAGTGATGGAGTCCAGTTTTTCAGGCCCTCCGTCTTTCCCCGAGGCCTTGTCTCCTGAGAGAGGAACCCAGCCCGTCAAGCAACACAGGTGAGTAGATGGCACTGCCGGCACATGCAGCAGATATGCTGGAAATGTCCTTGGTTTGGTGACACATAATACAAGATYATTGTGGATTGTGCTTGGGACATGGTCAGGACAGTATTGGTACTAACATCAGCCTCTACATTAAGCAGATGCCAAGCATGTTCTTAGCTGCAGAGATAAAAAGTTTTAACAGTGCTTGYTGACTTTATCTACATTTTTAAAAAGTCCTAGAGGAAGCATAAAAAAACACCCCCAAAACTGTAGACCCAGACCAGTGACAGAAACAACTGCGGTGTTGCCATTAAAAGCATGGCTCTGCTTAGTGACACAAGTGACTTTTGTCTCCTCATGCCAACAGGGCTGCAGACTCCCAGCCTTTCGCACTGTTTATTTAAGCAGAAAGCACTGAAAAGCACTGATGACTTATTCATGAAAATATGGTAATCATTAAAAACCTTCTTTTAAAAGTTTAGATGTAAGATGTTCCCAAGAGCGAAAAAGAGGAAAATTACCTATCACAGGATGCCATTTGGATTAGAATTCTGTTCATATCCTTTCACATTAAGGTAACGGAAACCAAACTCCTATCTCAGAAAAGTAATGTTGCTGTTGGAGTAGCAATGAAATTATCTTGGCCAAAGCAGAGAGAGGAAGAAAGGATGAGAAAATTCAAGTCAAAATTACAGCTAGATAGTCTAGAGGGAAAGACTTAATAATTAGGATCAAGGATTGTCTTCTAAGGTTACTAAAAATATGTCTGGGATTGCACAATGCTCTGGTCTATGTTCTGTAGCATTTGGTGTAAATTGCAAATGTAGGGCATTTCTATTGCAGTAGGCCAGGCAGCTACATATTCTTTCTCTTCTCAATATTTGTTTAACCTAAAAAGGGTGTTGTATGACCTCGGAAGGGATATTTGCATCCTATTTGCATTTCATTACTTAAGCTTTTAATTTGCCATGAAGAAAATAATGTCAACTGTTGCATAAGATTCACTTCCTAGGGCCCTTATTCCATAAATTTCAATATATGCTTAATTTGCTGAATATAGAATGAACTATGGAACTGTTCTCTGCAGTGCTTTCTGCTTGAGGTTTTGCAGGGATTTTGATCTCAATTCAGTCAAAGGGAAGAAAAGAGGAAAAAAAACATAAAAAGAACACAGTGACATTCAGGTTACTTTAAAAAGTGTAGATTGATTTAGGTGACATACCAAGACATTTTCTAAGCTTAAAATCTAGAAAGAAATTAAAGACTGAAAATACTTATTCTGTTTATAAAGGTCACTTAAAATAAAAGTTGAATAACTCTAGGCTTTGTATTTCCCATAGGGAAATTACTGAGAAAGCCATACTGAATTTACAGTGAACTAATGCAGAATTCCAAAGTGCTCATTTTAATGCTTTTGCTTACCAAAGTCTCTGTACCAGGGGGGAAAAAAATCRGTCTTTCTATTTGCAGATGGGAAGCAATGAAAAGCGCCAAGCCTCTGCTCTAGGATGTGGAATCACTGACTTGATTTTGAAAAGAGCCTCTTTTGTAGTTTTATAGCTTAAGATTTACTGTACCAAGCCTTTGTTTATAAAAGATACGATAGATTTCAACATGACAGTGATTTATAAGGCTTTTATTTATGCATTGTGTGACAGCAGCTTCCTAAGTTACTCTGTGACTTTTTTTCTAGATACTGTTCAAAATTAATTTGTGGGATTTCCCTGAATGCTTCATGTGCTCCCCTTTTCATTCGAGGTCCTAAAGTTTTAGTCTGTTACCCAATGCCCAGTGACAGATGTTAGCTGGAGTTCTCAGGTATCCTTAAGAASGCAACTTAAACATAGAGAAAATATGGTTAATGTTATGTATAAGGTCTTCAAAAGCTGACATAAGCCTGAAAAAAAAAACAGTGCATCTCTGCAGATTCCCTCTTTTATACGACTGTTATAGCATGTTACTGGTTTGTTTCTGCTCACCATTGGCATTATGTTTCACAGTTAGAACTGTTTTACTGATGTTTTCAAGGATGCTAGTGGAGGGATGATTATATCCTGGAACCAGCAGCTCTCTGTTTCCAGTAAATAAAACCAGTATAACTTTGATCTGACAGTAAGACTGCCAAAGTGGGAAGTAATTTTGGGCTGCTTGTGATTGTTGCTTTTCTAGTGGTATGCATAAAAGAAATTTGACGGACAGAGATCACCTAGTTATTTCATGCAGACTAGTAGGTAACAATTTTCTTACCTGCATGCAAAGACTACTATAGAGATAAAAGACTTGAATTTACCATTAAAATATTTCACCTGAATTATGCACTTTTATTACTGTATAAGAATCTTGTATTATGTGCATGTATATGTAAAACAGTTCTTAACTGCCGTCAGAGCTGGAAAGTACCAAGTATATTTCCTGTAAAATATAAAATATGCTCAAAAAATGCACCTCAGACTGGCTGTTGGATTGTGTAAAAAGAATACCTCCAGTGTTCTCTGTTCTAACAGATAGAAACGAATTATGATTTTGCTAATTATGGGATTGACTTGTGATTCCTTCGAGAAGCATTTTCTCAGTAATTAGTCATATTAACTTTTATTGATTCATTCATCATTGATATTAGATGGATTCATTTCAGACAATACTCTGATGAAAGTTAAAAGAAAAGGCTTTCAACCTGAAGCAATTGTGTTATCTTAAAAAAATATCAAAATAGGATAAACTTACTCTAAACTTSAAAATTATCTGTGATTGCATTTTCAATTAACTTCAACTCCATAAAAATATGGTAAAATAAAATGACTGRTTTAGTTTAAATGAAAGAGTGAGCAAACGTAATTCTGCAAATAAGGTTATTGATTTTAAAAGGTCAAATATGGATAAGCTAAAACAGCTAAAGATGTGAAAACAGAGGAAGCCTGAAAGTCATGAGGATGAATTATCCCAATGAAAGGGCATGGTCTTATGAAGAAGATTACTAAAAATAATGGCTGAATGCAGTGGGGTCTAGGGGAAACAAACAAACAAAGACGTATCACAGAGGACCATTTCCAGAAATCACTCTGATTTAAGAATTAAAAGTGATTCTGAAAACAGCCCGTTTTTTTAGCTATATAAATAGGAAGGATACTATACAGGAAGAAGCAAAATCAATGATGTGTCAGAAATAATATATGAGACAGGCAGCTAAGTTTAAATGAATATATCTCATTTTTTCAGTTAGGATGATGATTCGGGAACAAAGGTAGAATCGATAATAGAATATGTGGAAATAGTCTATTACAGTCAAGGTGAAAGTAAAATGAAGAGATTAAAGTGCTCAAGTCAAGAGGGACTGACTGGTTAGTCTCCATCACAGAAGTTTGGAAGGAACTGGCATATGGACTTTCAAGTCTGGAAGCAAAAATCCATCAAAATAGGAGCTATAACACTGCATTACAGAGCAAATGTACCTAAATTTCAGAAGAGGAAAAAGGATACCTAGAGCTGATGATCTAATAAGATGAATTAGATACTACTGAAAGCCTTAGGAATGACATTGGGAAGATGATTTTGGGTAAGATGATCCTTTAAGTAAATAGAGAAAAACGATAAACTATATCCTGAGGTTTACCAGCAGCATTTCCTGCAAAACTGCATTGAAGGCTTCCTATGGTAGGAGCGAGACAGACCTGACTTATACAACCTTAGTCAATATTTGGTTCCTTATTGTATGTGTAGTTATGTGTTAAATGAGAGAAAGTAGGGAGAGGCGGAACAGTTATAGTTGGATGTGCAGATGTGGTTAGAAGGGATATAGTAAGAAATTACATTGACAGGATGAGTGCTGGACTGAAGATACTCACTAATGAAGCTCTCTGAGAGTTAGCCTTGAGATGACTCTTGCTTTCATTCCTGGTTTTGGCATAAAAAAGCAGGAACATGCTGAAGAAATTAGTTAAGGTACAGTGTCAGTACRGATGAGAATCTAGGTATAATAAAGAATGAACTGAATAACTGAAAGGAGTAGAGCAACAGAGATGGATTGAAGCTCAGCAGTACAAAATACAAGGTCACACATTTAGGAACTAATAAAAGTTTCTGCTCTCAGCTGAGAAACAAACAAGGAAGAAAAGGCTCAGGATGTACTGCTGGAACAAAGGAAACCAAATCTCAAGGTGATGTAAAAGATAAATAGGATAAGAAAAAGTATTGGTCGAGACATTTCTATAAGAAAATCAAAAACATTAAAATCAGTTCATAAGTCTTTGGTGTAACTTAATTTGAATATAACATGAGAATACACTAGTATTATCTGGTTAAAATGGGCCCATGATTAAAAAGGACTCAAATTGCCTTCATGAGYTAATACAATAATATGAGGAATTAATAGTCTGTATTCCATAAGGAGGATTAGAGAGTCTGTCGTCTTGAGTGTAATAAAATGAAGACAAAAAAACACTGTGCTTATAAATACATCAGAGAGAAGCATGAGGAGAAGTAAAAGAACTGTTTAAAATGAAAGAATATGGTGGCACAAGGACAAATAGATATTTCCTGACCACAAATAAATTTAAACTGGAAATCAGGAGAAGGTTGAAGCCTCAAAGGATTGTCTGGAGTTACAGCCTTATAGTCTTTCTAGTTTTAGGACTGGGAATTTAAGACTGATCAGTGCACTAAGGGGAGTATAAGATAAGGTTATGTCAGCTGGTTGAGCTCAGTGATGTTGAGATAGCTTTGACTGCTCTGCTTTCTTCTCCTGTTGTGTATGGCTAAGCAGTGGAACTTGTGTGATGTCTTTATTCATATGATATAGTTAGTCCTGAGGCGCTTGCGCAGAGCTGTAAAATCCCTGATCAGCCCCAGTATAGGCTATTTCTGAATATATGAATATGTAACAGAACTTACAATGCTACTGTTTCAGAAATGAAAACATAGAATTGTAGATACATGCTGGGTGCTGGGCAGCTGCTCTGGCAAATGGAGAAGAAAGTTGTGAAAACAGCTGGCTGCCATCCCAGTCCATCATGTAGACTGGGAATTTGACCAGCTGTAACACTTCATACACATGACCTATTAAACATATGCCATTGTGCAGCAATAAATCAGATGATTTCCTCAAATAAGCATTTGTCCGAGTGCATTTTTAATTATTACAAAGACATAGGAAGAAGTAATATTTAAATGTTTGAGATGTAGGACACTGCAAAGAGACAAGAAGGAAACACTGTTCCAGTTCTCARTTCTCTAGTACTACAGATTTTTGGCATATAATCTGCATATAATCATAGTCTTATTTTARTCACACTGGACAGTCACTGGAGTCCGAAGGATGTTGTCACGTAGTATTTATTGAGAGGCACTGCTGTTCAGAGATATTACAGGTCATTTTATTAAAACTGAAAATTGGTTATAAGTCTGAGTAGTTTATTTGTATATGTCTTAGCAGTGGGATGTCCACATAGCCTAAAAATGTGGCTCCTAGAGAAAATAAGAAGATACTGGCTTTCTGGCAGCCTGCTCTGTCTTTGAGGCCTGTGTTTGCGGTCCTTGACCTGTAGGGCCAAAGATCGTGGCTTTAAGCCTTAGACAGAAACGTGGGTATCTTTATTACCTGCGGAGAGTTAAGTATATAATGTAGTACAATTCACTGTGTAGTTTTTACAAGTATAGAGCCAGAATATTTCCAGTTGATTTTAGAACCTTTCTTCCTTAGCTTTGCATCTTTCTCTTTCTGAATTGTATATCTTAGCTTGACAGAGGTATTAAAAGGAAATGCAAAACGGCAAGCTTATGAATGAAGGCAGCTTGCACTAATAGAGAAATGCTTGCATTTAACACAAGATGTATAAAGCTTGAGCTGGTAAAAATGACAGAAGAGAGAACTTGGTATTAGCCTGTTGTGTTGTAGCGTCTCTTGAATATCTAAAAGATGGCACGGAACATGTGGAGAATGTGGAAAAACTGAAAAATTGGGGTTACTCAGTGAAATGAATGGCAACAAGAAGAAAATCAGGTGGAAGGAAAAAAAAGTGGCAGTGCTGCCATCAGAAAGCAAACTGTAGCTGAAGAGGCAGAAAAAGGGGGGATATGAAATACAGGTATACACACAACCATGGCTATAAGCACTGTTTCGTTACATTTACTACATTTATTCAACAGCCAAGAGAAGAGGAGTTGGGTTCTTGCAATAGAAAGGAGAATTATGATTGCTCAAGAATTGCATCACATATAAGGTCTATTTTTGCTCTTTTGTATTTAACACTCAGAGTAGCCTCATTTCACCCTCCAAATGCTATAGAAGCCTACTCTGGTATATAGGAGTCTATACATATATTTTTACAAGACAATGAATGAGTCAATCCTAGGGCCATGTTTTTTCTTCAATTTTTGTACAGTATTTTCTGATCTGTTCTGCCTGTTGTGATTTTCCTCATATCTGACATTAATTACTTGCTGTAGAAGTAGGATGTTTGATATTCTAATGCTTCCCAGGTTAGTTTTGCTGCTTCTGACTCAGTGTACCACATAAATATCAGCTGTTTAAAAACATGTACAGTTGTATGCAAATGCTTGAATTGTGTTATGTGCTTTAGTTGCCCGATGCAATGAATAACTCTTTGATCCYATATGGTTCAAGGGTCAGGGCTTTTCTTGTTTCTCTTAACAAAAGTAGATCTGAGTGAGTTCATCCATAATGAGATATGTAATCAGTTCTGTTTGGTGGCAAGCTAGAAAGGGGTGCAGGGTGATTCCTAATTACTCTGAGTGATGCATCTTTTCATATTCATGGACACATTCAGCGACACTTGGAGTTGTGCTTGTGCCTTGAGAAGAGAATATGTCAACTGCCGAGAAAAACTTTGTTTTCACTTAGTTACTCAACCTAAAGAAAACGTTCACAAAAAAATGTTTGCAAGGATGAACTGGAATTTCTTCWTTGGCATAGAGATTATTGAAATAGTTCTTTTCAGTTATATTCATCAGAACTACATTTCTCCATAGTTTAAGAATTACTTGTGAAGCAATTCAAAAATATACTGTTTTTTGTAATTCACATCAATATCCATTAAAAGATTTTTAAAATGTATCTGTAGCTTTCCTTAGTGGGCTTTGTGAACACCTCAGTAACTGAGCTTGTTTCTTTTACCCAGTGAGAAAGGAGTGCATAGGTAAGAAATTTTTATGAAAGCTGAAAGGATAAATTGCCTAAAATCTGAAAGGCATTGCTTGCCTCATAGGTAGGGATGCTTCAAGAGAGAAACAGAGTAGGTGCATTTGAGGGGGCTTGTGTTACACTTCTGGAGGAAGAAATATGCAGATATTCATAGTGCCCTTTGACAGTTTTGTAGAAAAACAAAAAAAAATATTGTGGTGTAGTCTCTTAAAAATTTTAGCAAATTCTTACTATCCTTGTTTTTGGTGCTTCAAGAAAAGAACTAGCTGTAAAAATCTGCAAAAAAAAAAATCCTAGCATGTTCAGTAAATTTGCCTTGTCCATGCCCACCTATGTTTTTTGTTCATTTTTTACYTGCTTTTTCCTGTTAGAAATGGTAGAAGCATAGGAACACCACATTAGGAACAGTTCAATCATTTAAGCTCTGCCAGTGCTGGAGCTGTGTGATTGCAGCATGATGTTAACACACGCCTGCTCACTTGTGTCTGCCTGGCCCCTGCATCATTAAAAATGCAGTAAAAATGTGGCAACGTGAGCTTGAGTGCAAGGGGAGRAAGCGCAGGTGGGGAGTTTGTCTGAGTCCTTGCCGCTGTGTTTAGCAAGTAGCTCAGGTTACCTGCAGGCCTTGCAATGAAACCTGCTGCAAGTGCTGCACTTACTGCGGGTGCGCGTTTTCAGATGGAAGACCGTGGGCACTCGCCCAGACGAGGAGGAACACAAGAGCATCAAACTAACCACAATGAAGCAGTACCTTTCTAGTCACAAATAGTCAGCCCAAAATGTGATGAATGTAATTGGTTTGTTGACTTTTCTAGTATGTTGACAGATGTAGTGCAACCAATAAAAAAAAAGGTAAAATCCATTATTCATCAGGAACTTATTAATTCAGCTGCATTTTTTAAGATCCCCTACTGTAATAACCCACAGAATCTCCTGAACCGAGAATGCTTACTACTTTGTGATGTGGTGGAAATTTTATTATAGAGAATATGGATTGTAACTCACAGTTTGACCTCATCTTCAAGATTAAAAGGCTAATACCTGAGTTCAATGTTTATATTATTTAAAAAAAAAAAAAAAAAAAAAAAAAAAAGTGGGAAAGTACAGGATGGGACATTTGTTATCTAAGTGACAGGATTGATACTGTTGAATTTCTTATGTTTTGATTTTGGAGAGAAAGGTAGGGTTTCATGGAAATGGCATGCTCCAGGGAAGTTTGTCCAAGATACTTAGTCCAGGTAAGATTTGCTCCAGGAGTAAGCATGGCCGTAACTTGTAAGTAAAGTTCCCACTAGATATAAAATGGAGATTGCCCTCAGGACAGGTTATGGGGAAAGAGACACAAATTTACTAATAATATTTTGAACAGTGAATTGTATCAAAAACTGAAATTGTGCACATAACCAAAGGTAATTATTCTTAGCCTTCACCTACAAAACCTATATTAAAATGTCATTAATGATGTGTCAGAATATTAAATAACTTGCATGAATTTCTGAGTCCTGGGTGATGCTGGGAGAAATAGGAGTATCTGGAAAGGGAACAGCTAGTCATGCTGTGCAGTACTGTGACCTATTAAAACTAGAAATAGGTTACATCTTGCCATTATTATTATTCCTGCTTTAGCAAGCACTGAATGTATTGTTATTATAATAAAACTATGGGAAAATCAGAAACTGCTTAATTTTTGGACAAAATGGAAAAATCTATTCTCCCGCAAAAATGCTATATGAATACTGTTTTTTAAATACTATTTTCTAGAATAAGTCAAAAAATACTTAAACCTGATTTTATSATATTTAAATTTGCATTGTATCACATGAAGAAACAACACAGTATTTAGCAGTGTATATAAAAGGAGATTTCCAGCTATGAATATCTTGAAATCTTGTCTGATGTTTAGAATATTTTTGTTGGCTTCTACGAGCTGGGAGTTCTTCAGCTTCACTAAAATGTTTTCTCGCAGTTTAATGTCATCAGATCAACAAGCAGAACCACCTAGGCTGCTAGGTTATATAATGGGCTCTAAATTTAAGATATGTTTGTGAGCTCAGCTGAATATGATGGACCTATGCTATTTATACCCTCTGAGGAGTCAACACTCCATACTAGGAATTATATATGTAGTGTAGAAAAAAAGAAGCATCCCTCATTAAATATAAGAAAACATTTGATTTACTCCCCACTTCTTTTTAATCCTGGAAGGAAGCTGATCTATTAAATATGGAGTAAACAACAGCCAACTGTGAATTGTAGCATTGTGTTACCATAGAGAATTTTTCCTAACATCATGGACCGAATACCAAAGTTTACAAAAACAGCAATCTATGTATTATTAATTCTAAAGCTATTTTGCAGAAGTTACGATCTTGCTTTCCTGTACTTCTGCTCTTTTCCCTAGAAGCCTGTCTTCATGCTGCAGCCCAGGACAAAAAGGAGGGATTCTACATAAAAATGCCTTTCGGAGGACTCCTCCCTTACCTCGGGGTAGGTTCAATGGAATCACAGGACCAGCATATCAGCAGCTAGAAGAGTCAAGGATCACAGACCAGGACAYAGTACCCTGTCAACGGTAAGTAGGAAAATAACCAAAGTGAACCAATTTGTTAGTAGCTGCAAAAGAAAAGTTACTATGCTTTGTCATTACAGTACTTGCAACATTTTTAGTGAAATGAGAATTCAGGGCTTAGAGTACTGAAAGCAGAAGTATGTTTTCAGCATTTTGACTCTTTGAAGGTAATATGTTTTTATTTGGCTGACTGCTCTTCCAAGGCTTTCTAGAYTTTAGCAGTAATCCTATTACTCCTTGTTACATAGGAATAAAAGCAGTGATCAGACAAACTGGAAGTGATTTGCTGCATGTTACTTTTTATATAAAGATCATTTCTTGAGCAATGCCATGATCTACAGTTCTTGTGACCTATGCATTCATAGAATCATAGAATGCTTAAGGTTGAAAGCAACCTCAGAGGTCATCTAGCCCAACCCCCCTGCTCATGCACGGTCACCTAGAGCACATGGCACAGGGTTGCATCCAAGCGGTTTTTAAAGATCTCCAAAGAAGGAGACTCCACAACCTCTCTGGTTGTGCATTGTTTCTTCCATCAGTGCTGTAAATGAAAATTACTTAGGAGATCAACTTTCATGTTTTTAAAATGCATATTGCAAGATGTCTTTGCTGTAGACTGAAGACTGACCCCTTCACTTGGTTTGGCTTTGAAAGTACACAAAAGATCAGATATTTTTCCTCTTTCTTTCAGCTTAGTAGAATATTGATTGGATTTGGGTTCCAGCTAAACATAAAGTCTGAATGTCAGTGTTTCTGAGCATCTACAGCTGCCTTTGAAGTCCTTTACAATTGCTGAGCTATTCTGCATAATATCTACATATCCTCATTGATTTCCAAACAATTTCCAGAATCTATACATATTCTGTGTAAAACTAGAACTGAGATGGGATACAATGTGCAAGTCATGACTAAGTGCAGTGAAGTAAATGAAATTATACTGTGGGAAGACAGCTGTAATTTAAAGAACTACTAGAAATGGCTTTACGGAGTGTAAGACTAGAGTCAACTGTGTGTGTAGTTTTTTTTGTTTTGTTTTGTTTTCGGGAGGGGGAAGAAAGGAGCCATTTAACTATCCACTCAACCACAAGTGCTCCCTAAGAGAAGGTGTCTTTGCATAGGTGTGTCTTTGCAGAAGTACACCTGTGCAAACATAGAACACGCACAAGCACTCCAACTACACACTCCTGCCTACCCTGACTTTCCATCTTTTGTGAGTGCATTTTAAGAATAATTATCCTTCTTACTCTTTGTTCCTTTGCAGAAGAAACCTGATTATTACTTCTCCCAGGAATGTTACCATCTTTTGTGTAATAATGTAGGTTTAATTCTTTAAGGAAGCTGTGAATCAGAGTGCAAACCTTACTTTAATGAGCAGGCGAACACAGTTTTCCTTGCTAAGTGTCAGTTTTGGGAAGCAGGCTGCTCACAAAGACTGCAGCCTCCTTTAGTTCTTGAGAAGTGAGAGAGAAAATATAGCACAGCTATAGTCTGGACAGTTGTATTTACTCTTGGACAGCAAATAAGTTTTAGTATTACATGTCCATGTCATATTGACCTATATTATATTTGCACTTCTACAAAATGTTGAGCTTTCAAAATGTTGAACTTTAAACTACCCTTCTGCCCTTAATCCACTCAAGCACTTTATTTTGTGCGTGTCTCTGTAAAACACAAAAGTTGTCTCTCAGAAATAGTTGTCTGAATGTATCAAAAGGTACTGTTGCCACTCTGTGCCACTCATATCCCCTTGGTCTGTTAAGAGTCTGTGAGGGTGTCAAGAATTTACATGCAGCTAAGTGGAGAGCATTTCCATTGTTTTCAACGGCTGTTTGCATTACATGATGTTAATTGTTAATGTGAACATGAAGATACATAAACACATCTATATATGTAAGACCCATGTCACAAGTACAGCTAGCAAATGGTGTGTGTATGTAGGCATATGTACTCATAAGACCGAACTAAAGCCTATTAACGCCRGTGGAATGACTCCCAAATAGTCTTTGCGTGAGCCTCATACACTGGACAGCTACAAGCACTGAGGTTCACAGCAAAATTATTTGTACCGTGTTAAATTCAACCTAGTTTGTATTTTAAGTTCCGCTCAGTTCTTTAGGCACAAATAATCTCTTTAATATCTAAGAAGATAGTATAACTAGTATTCCTGGTTCAGTTTCAGTTGTTAATTTAGAGTCCTGAACTTTATATGGATGAAGCAGATAATTACTACTACATATTTATAAATGTTTAAGTTTCTTTTTGGCTTGGTTTTAGGAAAAGGGTAGAGAGAGAACTGCACTTTGAAACACATGCGTGAATGAGTTTATTCAAACAAAAAGCAACTTTTTAGATGGAAAATATAGATATCCTTCTTCAAGAAAAAAATACAGTTCTGGGAATGTTTGTGAGATTATAGGAGAAGGTAATCACCACTCTGGACTTGCAGATATAAGTCTGGCTCAATTGCAAACAGAAACTGCCTGGCATCACAAGTAGAACCATGAATCAGTTTGTAACTATCAGAACCCTGGGTCAAACATGGGCTAGATATAAATGCTAAATTACAAAAGAGAATTTTCTGGTGGTTTGAACAATTACGGAATAAGCAAATGCAAAGGAAGGCAGATTGTGCACAGATAAGAGGAATCTGCAATGCTGTGTTTGCATTTAATTTTTAAATTGTCCTCCTTGTGCAATAGTTTGCCTGATCAGTATTTCATATCAATCTTTTTCAGTTTGATATTAAAAGGCCTGCTATAAACAGGCTACAAAGGTGTCCACAACGTACGTGTTTGTGCAGCAGTGTAACATGCACAAGAATCATGTGTCCCAAAAAAGGTGCTTGATCAACTCTCTACCCTAATTTTGGACTGTGACCGTTTTATGCACTTCACTTTTCATTAGTTTTTTCTTCTGCTAATCCTGAAAGAATTAAAGCACGTAAAAATAGAGGAATATTCCTAACAAAATTTAATGGATTCAAAAAAAACCTTAAAATCAGAACTCAGACACCTGTTTCTGTACTAGATATATCTAGATATCTAGATGTTGCTTTCATTGCCCATGAGTAAAGCATATGAGACTTCATCATTGTCTTGCTTTGCTAAATAAGTGATGTGATTGCAAATTTAATGAGAAAGAAAGTATGTTCCAGGACTGAGATGTTGTTTATGATCCTTTGTAATTGTAACTAGCAGAAGTACTAACTTTCAGAGCACCAGATTTCTAGTAATACTTCTTCTCAAATAGGAAACCTAGTTCTTTTGCCAGGTTTCCTTTATTATATACTTGCTTTACTTTCTATGTCTGTTTTTTAAATAAGCAAGTGAAAACATTTCTCCATAAGAATAATTAATTTGACTTTCAAACAAAATGGAAATACGGATGAAATTTCCTAAAAGCAACTTCAAAGTAAATAAAATCTGACTGTGATATGGGTTAGTGGAGGATAAATGATTTCCCTTGAAAATCAGCAGAACAGACACTTTCCAGAGTTTAATATATTAGCTCTATCTTCAGACAAGATAAAAAAAAAAAAAAAAAAAAAAATCAGGCCAACATCAGGACTATAGTTGGGTGAAAATATTGCATAATTTTTTGAGGTACAGTGCCTTTAAGGTCCACTTCTTTCGCAGGGAGTACAGCCATTTCCGTGTTCCCACAACAATATTTTGTTTGAAGTTCATTTTTCTGCACCTTCCAAAGAACGTTACTAATTAGCTATTTGACCCAGGGGTTCTGCAATTAAAGAAAACATCGGTCCATTTCGGCAGTTTGGAACATAGGGACAGTATTTTAAATTTAACTTCAGAAAATTATTAATTGTAATGAATTAGTCACAGATAGTATAAACTCTCAAAAGCTTTTAAAAAGGAATTGCCCTTATTCTCATACACAGGCAAAGAAAATGAGGAGAGAAAAGCAGCAGTGCTTTACCTTACACAGATCTGGGAGAAAAAGACATGTTTCCAGAGTCCAGTGTTGTCCCCAGGGCTGATCCTAGTGTGCAAAAACAGATATGTTTAATGAATCTCATGCAACATTTCTACTGCTGGCTGCATCTAACTGCTTGATGTACAACACTTTTTTTTTTTATTATTCTTTTCAGGTGTTCATCCAGTGTTTTAAAAACTCCTCAGAATACTTCAATAAATATGCAACTGCCTTCAAGAGAGACAAGCCCTTATTTTAATAATGTGGATCAGAAGGACTTGGTTGGATATTCGTCTTCAAGGGCCAACTCAGTTCCCATCATCCCATCTGTGGGCTTGGATGAAGCCTGCATGCAAATGCAAAATGTTCCTGAAGTAACAGGCATCAAATGGTGCAAAAACTCCTATTCTGCTGAACTTGTCAATGTGAGTTCCCCAGTCAGTAATTGTCTTATAGCAGAACAACATGAAGTGAAAATATTGCTAGAAACTGTCCAGRAGCAGATCCGAATTCTGACTGATGCAAGGAGGTCAGAGGACTACGAACTGACGAGCCTAGAACCAGAGAACAGTGCAAGTGAAAACACAGCATTTCTGCCCATGAGCCCCGTGGCCAAATCAGAACGAGAGGCACAATTTGTCTTAAAAAGTGAAACACAAAGAGACTCAGTATTGACCAAGTGACTTTGTGTGGGGGTTGTGGGAGGGAAAATAAGAGATTGGTGCATTTGATGCTTTGCTAAACAGGAAAGGAGGAAATTAAATACAAATTATTTATATGCATTAATTTAAGAGCATCTACTTAGAAGAAACCAAATAGTCAATCGCCCTCATATCATAGTGTTTTTTAAAAAAATATTTTTTTAAGGGAAAGAAAAGTTCCAGGAGGGATGAAGCTTACATCAAGTGCTTTCTAAGCAGGATTATAGATACAGTTTCAGTTATTGAGCATTTTAAAACTGTCCTGTTTGGCTGGTAGAAGGCTTAGGTTATGTGTATTTTTTTCAGTAAAATCCAAGACCATTCTTAGATTCATGGCTGGTTTCAGGGTAGTGCTGCAGTCACCTGCTGACCAGGGACTTGGTCCTGACATGAGCCTGGGCCGCTCTTCACCTCTTGGCTCCAGGTTCATAGCATGAAAACAAAGCCACAAAGACCAATTCCTTGCCCAACTTCTGTGGTTTGCCACCAATTGCGGAATTGATAGTAAATCTGCAGATGAACCAGACGCTTAACCCTTCTTTACTGTGTAAACCCAAGAAAGTTGTAGGAGGAGGTTTGGGTTGGGGAAAAGTCCTGTGGGGTTGGGGCCTACCACAAGGCAGGTATCAGGAAACGCAGTCACTCTGCCCTGCTCTGAGCTTTGCTTGTCCAAGCAGGATCCATGGAGAAAACAAGAGAAGCAAACTGGAAGTGCAAGAATGTTTCATGGCAGGTTTGGTTTTGTTTGTTTTTAACAGTGGGAATGTAAACTCCATTGTTCGTTACTAAACCCTCCACGTTACTGAATCGTTATACTTTGAAGGCATTTGTATAAGCACCCAGGAGCACTTCTGAGTGTGTATGTGTATTTTTTTAAACTTATTTTTATTATGGGTTGTTCAGATATGAATCAGGGAGATCCAATATGATCAAAATCCAGCAGAAGTGTGTTCATGCTGCCCTAATTTGTTCCTGCTTTTAGTTCTCCAGTCACTTTAATTAATCATGGCTTAGGCTTGTGAACTTTAAAGCTTCAACCCTGAAGATGGTTCAGTACAGACAGACCCACAAACTTGCACATTTCTAACTCTAATGGGCAGTACAAGAGCAAATGTTTCTCACCAAATCAATCCCTGCACGGGATCAAGGCCTTAGAGAAGAAATGCCATTTCCTGGTTGCAGTATCCCAAGCACATTATAAATATATTTTTGCATTTTTTTTTCTTTTGAGATCCTCTTCACCCCCATACAACTGTAACATATGTCGATAGTGCAATGAATTGGGTCCCGAGACACACGCATTCCTGTTTTTATTATTATTAAAAATCTGCTTAAATTACTTGTGGGGAAAAAAAAGGAAAATGAAGTATGGTAAATAATTGCCAAACAGCCTTCCCTAGGTAATGTCAGAAGATTGATTAAAGGAGAAAATTATCGTATATACAGATTGTATTAAAAATATTACTTTGCAGCAAATGAATTACTACATTGATTCGATGTGCCCCAGACTTTCCAGTTCACATGTTTCAAGACTTTTCAAAATAGCACAATTGATCACAGAGTGCTGTTGTATGTTGAGTCAGAATAAAGCAATATTTTAACCTCTGTCAAGTAAATTTGAAAAAGAAATGCTGAAAGTGTATGTCATTTATTTTGTTCCCAGTTAAGGCATTAAAAAAATTCCAATTCACAAGGCTTATTCAGCAAGTCTTATTTGGGAGTTTTTGTTTGTTTGTTTTTAAGACAAAGTGGATGAAATTGTCTTGTTTACAGAACTTTCTATGGCTGTAATCTTTGCTGTGTGTTTTCAATAAAATTATATTTGAGGGCAAATTGCTTTATTATTGCCCAGGATGGAGCATGCCTCGTTCTGACTCCCTTCTTCAAAGCTCTGTGCAGTGAGCTTAGATTTTTGAGGTGAGATCACTGTGAGCAGTGCTCTCTCATGACATGTTTCTACAGCGCATTGTGCCTGGTTAGTCTTACTGTTCATGGGCTGAGCTGACAGTGCAAATAAACCCTCTAAAAAGCAAGGTATTTTAGGTGGAGCTGAGCTACACATTTGCGTACACCTGACTTTTGTATGGGTGCTGTTTACATGCTGCCAGCTCAGGTCATGAGCAAAGTGAGCTCGCATGAGCCTATGCTAAGCCCTATGGACACACCTGTGACATAGAGAACTGACTTAAAAGTTCAGATTCTGCAGTTTGAGAGTTGTATTGAAAGACAATCTCTCAGCTGTAAAGTGCAAGATACTGGCCTTAACTGATGTTTCAAATTGAAATCTTTCCAATCCAGATGTAAGGTCCACTTGCCCCCAAATCCTACCAAACAGCCAATTCACCTTGGGAAATGTATTGGAAACACACGGCAAGATTTCTGTTGAAGAAAGAGCTATATCATGAGCAATGCCTTTACTGAGGGAATGTGTTTACCTAGCACCCCCAAGAGACCCAATAGAGTTAAAGAGCAATGTATTTAAGACAATTAAGTGTTTGATTGATTGAATCACAGATGAAGATCTGAACTGGTGAGGAATCTTCAGTTTATGTTAGAGATGCGATCTTGTATTCAGCAAAGGATGTGTGACTGTTATATGTTAACTGTTCTATTCAGTTTTCGGCATGTTTGAATAGAGAGATGTTAATATTAACCACATGACAGACTAGTGTATTATTTGTTAGGACTATCACATCAGAGCCTATTGAAAATGTCATTGTTTACAGAGGAAAAGAAGAAGGTTTTAAAACATCAAAATAGTTAACCTTGTCTGTTCCTCTAATACAGCTGCCTCACCTTGTGGAATATCCTGTTTGACAATGAATGGAACAATGTTTTCTCTGAGATCTGGCAATTTAAATTTGTCAGAGGAACAATAGATTTCATAAAGTTGCACTTTAAGTGAAGTTTAGCTGAAATAGTAGGCCAAGTTTTGCTTTATATGTGAAGCATATGGTCCCATTGAACTCAGTGGACCAGAAGGAATGCAAGTCAGCATAGAATCTAATTCAGTCTTAAAATTATATCTCTGCCTAGTTTTGAAAACAACCTATAATCCCCCTAAAATCCTCTGAATTCAGTACTTGTCGCATAATTAAAACATATATCTGTCTTAAGTTTTCACGTAGTCTGGTTGAAAATTCATGCAGTGTTACACTCAAGTAAACTGGGAGAATAGTTAATTGAATATAATTATAAGTTCCTAAGTATTGGTTAGCAGAATGATCCAAACATTTGAAGTAGGAAATGTGGGTAAGTATGGGTACCTTTTGTAATATTAAGCCCTGAAAAACCCTTTGGTACAACCATGAGCTAAAGCTGAAATGTTGTTATTAAAAAAACTCGTTTAGCTCAATAAACTAGTTCATAAGCATTCAGAGTACTTTTGGTATTTAGCCACCTAGGTCAGCTCTCAGCTGATGTAGTCAGTGGAGTAATAATAACTTAATAGAGGGTCATGTACCCAATTTCTTTTACACAATGTGCAATRTAGCATCAGAAACGTTACTAGTTCATTGCATGATGTAAGATTTTTCAACACTGATTTATAGAGATATCTTTGGGTTTTTTATGAAAATCATACTCATATTCATGTGCAAGCATCCTCAATAGAATATAGTTCCAAGTTTGTCAGGGCTGTCCCCTTAGAAGGGCTGAATATTACTGCCTGAGATCTAACAGCAGCAAATTTATCCTAATTAAATGTGTGGCTAGTTCTGCTGTTACTCATCAAAACGCTGTGAAGCTGCTGGTTTAAATGGTGAAGCTACTGGGAGCATGGCATGTGCTTATGATCAGGCATGTATTACAATATGTTCCTGAAGCCAAATATTCAGTCAGGTAACTCATGTCTACTTCTAATGGAAGTAGAATTGGATTCCTCTTCCCAATTCATTCATAATGTCTTTCAATTTCATTGAAATTGTCATTGCTTGACCTTCTAGAAGAAATTATGACAATTAATACAAAAAAAGGGTTCTTTCAGAGCCCTAGCTATGGTAAATAAAATTAAGCTTGTAGGAACAGACCTGAAATAAAAGCTGCTTTAGAAACTGGCTTATATGCGAATTGCCTTTCAGTAAAACACAATTTCCTTATAAACTGTTTTTTCCCCTGGGCAAACAGTGAGCTGATAAAAACTGACCTTTACTCTCCTACTTTCAGTTTTATTATCTTGGCGTGAATTTAAAATGTTCAATTTCAGAATATAGAAGAAAGTAACTTGAAGCACTTCATCTTTAAGCAGTGTGGAGGGAGGGAAAAAAGATGAATGTTCAGTATGTGGTTTTGAGCTTCTGTGATTTCTTAAAATTTCATTTGAGTAACATGACAGGTCTATGATCATGTTATCTATTGTCTCACACATGTTTTAAGGGCTATTTCTCTTCCTTTGCTTGGTCCAGATGTCTGTCCATTAGATCTAATTTAAGACAGACAAGCTCATAGAAAATTAAAGTAGTTCCTTATCCTATAGTCTTGCTGAGAGTATAGATGATCCTAACTTTATTTTGATGACTACTCATGTGAAAATAATTGGTACCCTCATTTTCAGGTTTTGGACTTGACATTCTCGAATCACCAGATCAAACAGGGTTTTTTTTGTTTGTTTGTTTGTTCGATTTTTTTTTTTATCTTTTAAGTAGCAGAGCTCATCAAAAGATGTAAATGAAGTAACTGTAACAGCAGTAAACTAGTTAGTATCATGATGATGTTCGTTCTGATTACAATTATTGGTTTGGGCCATAGAGAATGRTAGTTAAAAATTACATGTAAGTTACATTTAAGAAATACAGCCACAAACTTAATAGCAGTGGGAAGCACTTCTATTGCTTCCTATTTTAGGCTAGAATTGTGGAAATCACCAGCAGATAAGGGAACAATTATGCAGTGTGGATGCTGCAGAATGCAAAGCTGCTTTCATTTTAAAAGTGTACAATATAGTTCTATATGTATTGAAATTACCAAAAACTTGAAAACATTTATTAATGATTTAATTTATTAATGATGGAGTATTCCCAAATTCCTCATTCTCCTATTGTGAATTGGAGCAAAGATGATTATGCATGTTTTGATTCTTTATTATTACAGCAGCATTTCTAATGTCCACGATAGGGACAGCATGGTATCACTGCACTGATGGGCTGCACTCTTGACACTTATTTTCTTGAAAAGATTTAAAAGGATCTGCTTTGGTTAAGCATCCTTTAAACAAGAAATAATTTTGTGGTACCCCACCCTGCTATTTTTGTGTGAAACTTTTCTTTTTCCACATAAATAATAAAGTAAAAATATAACAGAAGCTACTTTTTTTCCTTTGCTRTAAGGAAACTACTGTATTTTACAGCTATAGTGATTATGGTTTTATTGATGACTACAGAATGCAGAATGTAAATAACATATAGGGCATAATGTATGTAAGTGGCATGGATATTCTATAAGTGTACTATAGCCTTTAGTAATATATTCTCAGAACTTCCTTAAGAAGAGACCTATATGCAATTTATATTTCTGTTTTCCGTAACACTAACTAAAGTCCATACCACATCACAGAAGTGACTGAGCATTCACATACTTACCCTGTCCTTTTTCCTTGCTCTTACATTGCAAGGTCAACCTCTATACTGACTTGCATCCTCTCTGATTGCACTCTCATCGTTCCACTTAGAGTGGTTCAGGATCTTTATTCACATTCAAGATTTTATACACTTACGTTTCTTTGCTGTGAGTAGACCTAATGGAGGAAAACCTTTCCCTAGAAGTAGGATTTATGTGTTCTATCCTGTAATATGTTTTCTTACCACTCTTTCATAACTAGTTTCCTAACATTCAAAATTACACAGTCAGAAAATCTTTTCATGTTTTCCTGTCCAACATGAGAAAGCTGTTAGAATTCAGAGGCTTTGATCTCCCACACCTTAAATCTTGTTGCTTATATGCATATTTTACAAAGTAATTAGATTTGCATGACCTGCTTTTTAAAGTGACTAATGGTCAACATAAAAAACAGCTACAGGTCAGGAATATTTCATTTTCCCTTAAGCAAACATAGTGCTGGCAATCGTGTTTGCAAAGTTCCTCATCCCCAGACTGATAGTTTTCTGTCTGTTACACTGTATGATATATACACCGTGTGTAATAGCTTCAGTATTTACCTTAAAGTTATAAATCCAGGAGGTTGTGAGGTAAAACCTTCTCTGCTAGTGTGTTGGCAAGACAGAACTGCTACTCATTTCAGAGGGGAACATGTCAGCCGGTTTACAAGTCTATTGAATATAAACTCCACAATACTGAAGATGTTGCTTCAAGTCCTCTCATAAATTAATGTACTGATCACTTGTATGTTGTTGCCTGCAAAGGAATGAATTGTGCGGAAAGAGGATTAGTGTTCAGTATTTGTTCTGCAATGACTAACAACAAAAAATGTTGCTAGTAAGTCAGATTCTAACTCTTTCACCAAAGACAATCATCTGAAGTGTCCCAAATTATTGCTTCAAAAGTTGCTTTCTGCCTGTTACTACACTAAAATGTCTATAAAGATTTAGATCCTTAACAGGCAT